TGTATCTACAAGCGAACCTACTCTAAACGAAATTATGCTTAGATTCGTTGAAAATGTGAAGTGGACAGACCATGTATGGGTTTTCTGGTTGAAATTATCTAAGATTTTAGAGGTTGTGTCTTAAATCAATAAATGCATTTGAACACAAAAACAAACATATATGAAAATCATTGCACAGGGGGTAGTTGGTGATCTGAATTCACTCCATTTTTCCTTTTAAAGATCCATTTTGCACAAAATACACGATAAAGCCCACATTACCACCACCTAATAATATATCTTTATGCATACATGCATGAGCTACAATCAGCCAAATTCATCTTTAGTCCCATTATTTGGGTTCTCTACACTCTTGTCAACATTGACGCTTGAATTTCCCTTTTCTGAGCCGGCACTTCTTTTACTAGAATCAGTTCGGCGCACACGTTTGCTGGGCTTTCTCAGTGCAGGGTCATTATCCGAATCCATACTCTGATACTGCACGTTCTTCAAGAGCTTCTTTGAACCGGTACGACTTATCTCCGGCTTGACATATCTTTTGGAAGCAGGAACTTTTGTTTTAGCATTCTTGGGATCTGCAATGGGGGAAACTGGAGGCCAGGAATTCAAATTTAAATGTAATGCACTTGACTCGATATTAGCCCCCTTTTCAACCAACCCTAATTCAGTTAAGCCTTTGTCTAAGAGACTGTTTATGCTGCCTCCACGATCACCATTGGTATTTAGTACGTTTTGATCATCAGAATCTGCATCTGTTATGTCTTGATGTACTTCCTGATAGAATTTATCAGAACTTTTAAGAAACTAGAGATGATTCAAAAGATGGAACTAAATGATTAATAGCTGCGCATTAAATAATACTAAAAGACTACCAACCAGTCACCCACAGGAACATACGACGGCATAAGTTTCAATTGAAGAGTGCATTTATACAATGAAAAACTACAACAATTTGAGGCATAGGTGTACAAGATGGATCCATGATGAAAGGCATGTTTTCAAAATGAAACGAGATACTTTGTTTGAAACTAGTCCAACTTCACTCAGACGAGGGTTTAGTGAAAATACAACCAAGTGTACAGCATTGCCACCAGGAAAATGTATAGTATTGATTTTCTGAGGATATATCCATTCCAATATAATATCGAAATGGAAAGGATACTAATACTAGAATTTGGAACAAGAGACAAGGGTTTTCCAGGAAATGAATAGAAGCCCCAGTATGAAAGGACAACATCAAAAGTAAGAAGCAAAGGTATTGTTTATAAATATGCTTCCCATAAAATTGAAAAAGTGAAATTAAGATGTCTAGGAGTTCACATTTGACAAATTATAATATTTTATCAGAATAAGATATCTATTCTTCTCAAAATTCCAGTATCTGCGAATCAACAACATAGAGAGAAAAGAGTACCTCATTTGGTATGTCAACAAACTGCTCAGAATCAGATGTATCGCCTCCTTCTGAGTCCGTCATTTCTTCGTGTTCAAATTCTACATTTTCCCCAAATTCGTCCTCTGAGTCACTCAATTCTTCATGCTCCATTACAATTTCTGGGAGGGACTCCTCACCCATGTCATCAACAAAATTTTCGCTTCTTTCATTTCTAGAAGTATCCAACACATGGTCACCTGAATCCAGATTGTCGCTGATTCCCTCTGGAGTAGGACCCCTCTGCTTGCTAGAGTCTTTTGCACTTTCAGATTCTATACTTCCAGAAACTGCAGCATTTACTGACCTTTCTATACAAGTTTCGGTCATATTTCTGTTTTCAATAGATTTATCATTCCTGGATGTGAAACTCAAATGAATGTCCAAGTCAAGTCCATTAGCTTTTCCACTTGGGCTGGGGAGTTTACTACAGGAAGCACTTAAACTACCACCTCCTTGCCTTGACTCTGCATTAGAAGGCAGTTTGGCTGCAGAACGTGCATCTAACATATCAGAATCCACATCATTTACTCTTTGCAGAAGTGGATGAAAGTCCATGCATGATGATGATGATTTATTTTCCAGAGGCTTAGACGACTTGGAAAGAAAATTCACAGCATCTCTTAGATGACGGGGATTATGAAAAAGACCAAGATTCAGCTGCGGTTGATTTCCAGAAAATAAACTGAAAGAACTGGATGTGCTAGTACTGGAATTCAATGGATAATTTTGTAAAGCACCATCTTTGGGCGCCTGGAACAATAAAGGATGCATCTGCAGATCTGAATAGCCTCTCTCTTCTGTTATAGATTTATTTCTTAAGCTCTCTAAATTTTGATGATGATTACTAATTGTATTTTTCATTGAAATACTCCTAATCTGCCCAGGCTTCACTGAAGAATCATCTGCTGACTTTGTGGTGCACACAACTTGCAAAGCTGTGTTTTCTGTCACAGTACCACCAATACCAGAATCAGAGCTAGAAATCTTCGTTGATGCACCTCCCTGGGAGCATTTGAAAGCTGACTGTGACATTATCCGAACAGACGGTGGAAGATTTACAGGAGGTAAATCAGGAGCTAATTTCACCAAGCGTGCATTATTTGCTCTGCGAGCTCTGTAAGGTCGCAAAACTACTTGGGAGCCAGAGCGCCTTAAAGTTAAGTAAGAAACACAAAATAATAAAGCTTAATGAAGAGAATGTGATGCCGAACACATGCAAAAATGAGATAGACATAGAAGAAAGGGGATACCTTGAAGCAGATGAAAACTTGGTACAACTTTGGGTATTGAAGTCTCCACCACCAGAATTATCCATCTCTTCTCTGACTTGAGAACCCTCCAGTGAGGGAATGCGAGTAGGACATTTTGAAGATATGTTAGAGTTATCAGGCCTCCAATCGGCCAGGAATGCCTCATGAACATAAGCTTCATCTTCCCAAACCATGCACTTATCTGCATTGTTACCTTCTTCAATGGCTTTATCAGTGCTACCGCCCTGCTAATTGTATATTTTAATTAAGTAGCATTCCATTTAGGTAAAGAATAGAGCTATAGTGCTCCAAAGGTAAACATTTTATCAAAGCACAAATTAGGAAAAAGAATCAGTATCCATAATATATCATTTAAGCAATCTAACTTGAACCTAAAACCATTAATAATAAATCTATTTGGAATAAATTACTTTCATGAATTATAAAAGTCTATGATCGTCAGAACTGATATAAGTCCTCTCCATATCCTGCACTTTCCTGCCTGAAGAGTTTGTGATGCTGGTGGGAAAATATTACTTCTATTTTCACATCTTGGAACTCACCACCAAATTTATTGAAAAAGATCAAGAAAGCACCAGTTTTTGCAGGGAGAAAAAACAGACAAGAATCAATGTTAAAATCTGAAGCACTCTGATGATATAAGCTAAGTACAATCACCACACCAAATTTTAACACAAAAATGTTTCCTACATTAGACTACTAAGCCTCCATTGGGAAGAATTTATAAACTGTTTCATTTATAAATGATGAAAATAAATGGTGGATGTGTAGATAGTACTTGTGGGTTTATTGGAATGTGTTGTAGAAAATGAAGTTTGCCCATTTATAAAATGATTTATAAATTTGCCAAATGGAGGCTAAGCAACTTTCTGAAGGATGTCAATCTTGCTAAATATAAGTGAGATTTAGTTAATAACAACAGGATGTCCTAACCATGGGTAGGGAAGCAAAGAGGGTCACTAGTAAATGATAGTACCACTAAGGCAACATTAGACATGATATCATAAGTTAATAACATTGAATACACTAATTGGCCACTAGACCAATAAAATGCAGTTTTCCCATGTTAAGACTCAAATAAGTAAACCTTTACATTTGACTTTTTCTTCCTAAGCATTAACAATCTGAAAGCTTAAGCTTTCCGTCACATTATATTCAGGAACACTATCGTACACCCACGAGGATGATGTCACATGCATGGTTTATTTATAGCTATACATAGAGGACAACGGAAAACAGATTTCTGGATAATAATTATTGAACTCTAAGAAAAATACTGAAATCCATCAAAAAATTTTAACAACGAAGCACTTTAT